ACTTAACCCAACAAAAATACAACAACTGGTATACAATACTTAACCCAACAAAAATACAACAAATGGTATACAATACTTAACCCAACAAAAATACAACAAATGATATACAATACTTAACTCAACGAAAATACAAGTTATTATATTTCACAGAAGCTTAAACACAAATTATAAATTGATAAAAAATGTAAAGCTCACTATTATTGGTTCTACCATCCCCCTCTCAAAAATAGTTAAATTCCTTGGCATAACATTAAACAATAATCTTACCCGGCACTCTCATATTAAAGAAATCACAAAAAACTACTAGCAAGAATAGTGCACCTCAGAAAAACAAGCCATCATATTCACAGATGCAAGACATCTACAACTCTTTACGTTTATAAAATGTTTATCAGAACAATGATAACATGTAACATGAAAAAATCACCAGCTGACAGCACCACAAAACATATAAAACTGGGATTCTCGTTTAGCACACCACCTCCTTTTTTATACACCTGCATGTTACGTAGAAAAAATCATAAAACTCCCCCCAATTAAAAGCAGAATTATTATACTTACCACTAGTTAGTATAAAAAAATCAACTAATAGAAATTCATTCACCTCTCTTTTCCCCACTCTAGCCACCAACCCCAAGTTCATGGAGGAAGTATTTATCTCCCTTATAACCTTATTCATGATAATAACAATATCCTTTAAATAGATCAGTTATATGTATATATGCATAACTATCAAGTTTTAAGCTTTCTTTCGGACACTCGACCATCCTTCAAGCAACTCTCATCATCTTACCTCTTTTCCGCATACCTAGGCACTGGGCGAGCTATTATTTGGTCCTGCCCAGTGAAAGTGGGTTTTTTTCGGGGTGTTCTAGGCATTTGGATTTATAGATCCCTGCCAGACCCTGAAAAGGCCTGTTTGTTGATAGTTTGTCAATGTTGTACTGCTTCTTCTCAGGTAAACACCAGAACAACCACACCCAAAACTTTGTCTCCTTCATCTCACTTTTCATTTGTTTTAAAATCTAATAAGCCAAAACTACTCCTCCTCAGTAACAAACAACTCGAGTCCTGAGTAACAAACACTTACCTCGTGTGGTGTGAAGGAAGATAATCTATCTTGAAGCACCCCGGATGTTGACATTTTGTAGACAATATCGTAATGCCGAATTGTTATCATCTGTCAGTATTTTGGTTAGAGGATGAAATGTTTTACACGTAGAGCTAAACACTTTAAGTTTAAAGCCGTGGTTAAACAAATGCTCTCTGAATTTACAGTCTCACCCGAGCATGAAATGTACGTATAGGGCTAAACATTTAAAGGTTAGGACAGTGATACTTTACAAACTTTCTCTAATGATAAGACAACAAACCTACTTTACAGCTGATGTGAGAAAGTACCTGTGTTTCTTGATGCACATGGCACAGCTCTGAGGGACAGATGGCATGACTCTTCGGGTTTCACTGTCATTGATCCTACACAAATAACAAAATATACAGAAACATGGTCATTAACCCAACTAATCAATGAAGTGGACAGATATATATTATTAATCCCAAAAAAAACAACAACAAAGTGTACAGAAAAATGTCATTCATCTAAAATAAACAACAATGCACAGGAATATATCGTTGATCCAAAATAAACGAGTATACAGAAAAATGTCATTAATCCAAGATAAATAACTGTACAAAAAAATGTCAATAATCCAAAATAAATGACAGTGCACATGAAAATTTCAATAATCCAAAATAAACGACAGTGTACATAAAAATGTCATTGTTCATAAATAAATAAAAGCTCATAAAAAAAGGTCACTTGTCTTATGTGAAAAGGTGGGATCAAAGTGTGCATTTCTCGACTTTGTGCAGAGTGCCATTCAAGATGGTATTATCATTTGTTGTCAGAGTTATCAACATTTCCCATTACCCTACACTGTTACTTTTACAAATGTTTGTGTTAGAGTTAAGAATTTGCCAGGCTTGTTTCTGGCTTGAAAAAGTGTGTTTGCTCAAAACGTCGCCAAGTAAATAAATTATTACCATAGGTTTTAAACGTGATTGTTCTCTAAAAGTCTAATTTCTTTATATATATACACATACACCCACACAATTTACAAACTGTTTAATGGACAAAAGTACTTTTATTCTTCATATCACCTTCCACTCCAACTTGACAGTCTTAATAAGACTGACTTTGGCATTTCACAGACAAATGTTTAGCACAAAAACTTTAGTAACATACCTGACTTTTTTGTTTCCAACAGACTTGTGCTGTTCACTAAAATCTTCCCACACTCCACAAGTTTAAAATAATAGTCAATGTTACTTCTCCAATATGGGTTTGGTTAATTGGACCAACCATTCAGTTAATCTTATAAAGACAAAGGTGTATAAAATGTATACAAAAAATAGTTATCAGTAATGTAATTCAGAATTACAGAATGAGGACACATGGCATTTCTGTACTTTTTCAGAGAAACATTACAGTATTGAATGACAGGAACAGGAGTTCAGAGAAACATTACGATATTGAATGACAGGAACAGGAGTTCAGAGAAACATTACGGTATTGAATGACAGGAACAGGAGTTCAGAGAAACATTACAGTATTGAATGACAGGAACAGAAGTTCGGAGAAAAAATATGGCATTGATTGTCAGCAAGTGAATTGAAGGTAGCAACATGCTATTAGCAAATGTCCCAAAAAATTGTTCAGAGTATCAATATGGTATTGGATGTCAGCAAAGTAAGTTCAGTGAAACAATGTGGCTTTGGTTGTCAGCAATGTCAGTATAGAGTAAAAAATGTAATTTTGGTTGTCAGCAATGTCAGCAACCAAAACTACATTTTTTACTCTATAACAGCACTGAGGTTTCCAAGAAACAGTAAACTTTTTGCCACCAGCAATACCAGTTCAGAGTAAAATCAAGGTTTTGGTTGCCATTAATGCAACTTCAAAGAAAAAATCTGGTATTGAATCCAATATCAAATATTACAAAATGGGTATACACCACTTTGGAATATTGAAAATTTTAAGAGTAGCCAGTTTTCAATTATATTCACAAATATTCTTCAGGATAAAAAATATGGTAATGGATGGCAACAATGCGAGTTTTGAGAAACAATTTGTTGACTGCAACGTGTATTAAGAGAATATCAGAATATTTCAACTTATGGCACTAAGTGATAAATTGACAATTTTAATTGCATTAATAGACTTCATCGCATTTAAAGATCTTATTTCAAAAACACAATTCTGAATATAATACTGAATATCTAACAAAATTAAGTTACCTAATACTTCCTAACTATATTATTATTTCTCAGTTTTTATCTTTAATCAAAAATCATTTATAAACAAATCTTTTACTTTAAGAAATTCACTATTTCTATACCTTGTTTCTGTTGGTCAAAAACTGAAGCAACGGACCAATCTTGACTAACTCCCGACACTTGGACAACAGTGACAGTAGCACCTTCTGAATAAGGCGTCTAAAACAAAAACAACTTAACATACTAAACAGAACAATAACCATCAAAAAATATTATAAACTAACATATCTAGGCTATAGGATTTACATACGTTTCTGAATATCTTTCCTCGATTATAATTTATCTGTCATCTCATATAAGCTATCTTCTTAATTCAACTAAACATCATTAAACAATTAAATACATTTTGTCCAATAATGTTCTGAACATGAACAATAATTATTATACATCTAAAGAAAATTTTGAACATTAAAAGCCACTAGTAAAGTTAACTACATTTCATACAAATAATGTTATAAAAATGAAAAACTAATGTTATATTTAACCACACTTCACCTGATGAATATTCTTGACATAAAAAACACAATTACAGTGAACTATACTTTATCTGGCTGATGTTATTAACATGAACAACTGTTACTAAATAATTAAGTTTCATCAAATGACACAAACATAACTGTGTCATCATTTCAAATAAACTATTAAACTGACCAATGATTTGAATGTAACCAATCATTCTAACTTGACATCAATATCTTGTTCTAAAAGTCATTAAAAATGGTCATTTTGATTTCAGTTTACCTGACTGATATTCTGCACTTTAAGGTTTATTATTAGAGAGTTAACCGAGTCTTGGTTTGATCTAGCATCTGAAGGGACCACTCCACTTCTCAAGGCCATAGTTTCTACATGCAGAGATGGTTTTAATGTAAAGTGAATCGTGTGTTGCAAGAGTCGATGTCTGAAATAAACAGGTGATTAGTTTCGTACAACAGCATTGACAAACAAAGAAATACAGAAGTCAAATCATCAACAGATTGGAAAATTATGCACAAACAGCATTAAACTAGTAGATACACAAATGATCTTAAATGCTGTTTAATCTTTTCCCAACTAGTGGTTGTGTTTAGATGAATAAAGTCCAACTTCATCAATATTACCTAGCAACCAACATCTACTAAGGACCAATCCAGTACTTGAAGGGTTAAAATATAAAATCAGAAGAAAAAAAACAAACACTATCTTATTTTCGAAATGATGCTGATTAGATCACTCATAGGATG